ATACACATTCCTCGATGTGGGAGGCTGTCGAAGTAAGCATCTCCGATGTGATGATGACTATCTAGTGAAATATAATTGTACTATTTCATATAGAGAAATCGTAGTCGAAGGTAACTGCTTTGGGGCAGCCATTGTAATGAGATGCACGGCGATAGTAGGGTCCATCCGGGCCACCTGCGCCGACCGAGGCATGATCTTCAAAGCTGGCGTTAAATAACTGAGCCTCGAGCCAATCTGCCTGGTCTCCACAAGTATCCTGAATGACGCCGACTGAGCGAGAATGAAGCGTTGCAATACCCAAAGCTGGCTGTTGAAGCATCGAAGTTTGTTGGTGTCGTGGCCTTGACGTGCGTGTCCTTGACGTGCGTGTGGCTGGTGCGGTGACAGTAGAATGTAAATTGTGATGTGAGACTACGAGATCAGCTTGATGAGCCCCCGAGCTGCTGATTGATCCTATACCGCGCGCCGAACCATAGAATAAGACCTTATGCCGTCCCAGCATCATCTGCGTTTGTCGTCTCTACTAAATTCAAGGCTGTCCGTCATGTGGGCCGATTCTGTTGGCATTGAGCTTCTCTAAGTTAACATACACGCTCCGATAAGATGGCCACTTGTTGTAACTGCTATTAACTTCAATACAAGTGTACTCTCAAAACCTATCACTGTCAAAACTAATTCGTTTTGAACTTTCGAGTCATTTTTCAGTCTGCCACCTGGTGCACAGGTGGCCAAATGGCGATTTGGACTCCACCTCCCCAGAAAGCTGCCCTGGCGAGCTCTAGGAGCTTCAGAAACGCAAAAAACACGAATTCGTGTAGCCATTTTGTAAATTGACTGAACACTTTTAGCAGGGTTTTCGTAGACCAATCAAAACACGTGTATTATATTATCCAATGACGTTCCCTGATGTCGATCCAGGGAGGCTGTTGAGGTTAGGGCCCGTCACAGGGACCGCCTCTCCATCGTGCTCTCTATAAACTAATAATGAAGAGACACGGTATTTTTGACTCTAATAAATAATGTACTAAAATGTCTGGAACATTTTAGTACGATGAATGGTAGCGGCAATTCTAGACTATGTTTCTGAATGCCGCATACTAATTTCTTGTTAGTAGCCCGCTACTTTCTTAAACATTAATCTTACTTCTTCATTTACCGAGTCCACCACAAGCTCTTCTTCTTTTACCAAGTCCAACACAAGTGTCTTCTCCTTTTACCAAGTCCAGCACAAGTGTCTTCTCCTTTTACCAAGTCCGACACAAGCGTCTTCTCCTCCTACACTCAAGACTTCCTCTCCACTATGGCCGCCTAGACCACTCTACTTTTGTCCTCACTCCATTCTAACAACTCTGCGCAAATCATCCCTCCAACAGGTTATAAGCCCAGCGTTTCTCCAGGGGCGAGCTGGACGCTGCAAGACAACACACCTCCAAGCCGCATGAATGGCCAGGGGCACAAGGAGGTGAAGGAGACCTGAGTGAGAAATCGCTGGACGGACACTTGCCTGCGTTAGGCCACGTTGCCAACTTTGCGCCAGCCACTGAGCTGTAGCGCTGCATGTGCAATAGATCGCCATGCTGGGAGGCCATGTTGCCCTCTACGCCAGCAAACGAGCTGCACGCGGTGAGCAGCACGTCTGACACGCGGTATCGAGCCAGAGGAGAATCTCCCTGGACTCCGTACCATACGCACTGCGTATTGAGCCAGAAGAGAATCTCCCTGGACTCCGTACCATACGCACTGCGTATTGAGCCTACGAAGCAATAACACTTTTTTGCATGAGCAATGTCTCTGTCGATTGACTAAATACTACTAGTAGTGTAGCAGTGTGCATGCTTCTCACTACTTCGAAGTATAATAAAATCCGGAATACAATCCGAAGAGCCACCAGGGAGAAAATTACCTTAAAGCTGTGAGCTAGATAAAATGTGGGTGAAGTGTGCGCCTAATATTGCTTTGGTGCAAGCATTGTTACCTAGCTGCTCAAAGCATATTTATGCCACATTCACAAAAGAAATTTATGAATAAAATCATACATGCAATTTGCAAGATGCAAAAACAAAATTGCAAATTTCACAAAGTTGTACGAAGAAAAAAATATATATACCCCAAACGTTGAGAGAGAAATACTTAATGAAATGTATGAAACTGGGAGGCATCAACGCCAAAAACTATTCATGCATTTGCCAAACTTTAACATTTATTGTCACTGGCAAAAGTTTCAAACATTTCCAGCATAACAGTACCAAAAGAATTAGAAAAATCAATCAATATTTTATGACTACAAGACAAGCCTACAGAAGCCTCTGTCTACAGAAAGCAAACTATAGTTTTACTGCATCAATTCCGTCTACAATGAATTCGATAGTTTACAAAATCTATCGCTAGCGCTTGCGAAGTAAAAATAAAATTATAAACTTCCAAACGAGAAACAACTCGATGAGCCTCTATAGAGAAAAATAACCCCAACGACGAGAGCCTGCACACTTACTGCAAATATGATGCGTACGCTACCGATGACACTGTTTGATGTTATTTATGCTTTTAAAAGCTGTAGCCTTTCTTCAAAAATATTTGAAAACTATAAGCTCTCAATAACAATAGTCAGAGCAAATTGAAAATGACTGCAGCACCTATATCAACCATTTCATGAAATTGGGAGGCAATTCTATAAGACCTCAGCAGCGAAAAAACAAAAAACAAACCACACATTGTAAAGAAATATCCACATATTAAAGAGCAAAACAATGGCAGTTTAAGAAATGAACAAAGCTAAAACGCTTACACAAAATATATAAAGATAAATACGGTGATCAGGTGTAGGTTTCCTGAGTAGCCAACAACAGAGCGAACAGGTTTTGATCCTTAAAATTAAAGGTTTTCTTGAGGTAGCTTCTACAAATTCGTAAAGCTAAAACGATAACAACAACAGAGCGAACAGGTTTTGATCCTTATAATTAAAGGTTTTCCTGAGGTAGCTTCTACAAAATCGTAAAGCTAAAACGATAACAGCAACAATTCAGCGAACAGGTTTTGATCCTTAAAATTAAAGGTTTCCCTGAAGTAGCTGCTACAAATTCGTATAACTAAAACGATAGCAACAACAATCACTACGGTGAACAGGTTTAATCCTCGAAGGTTTTCCTGAGTAGCCAAAATAACAATGAAAACAAGAAATCAGCACAGTTATTGCCAAAGCAAAACAGCACAAGGTGACAAATCTGACAATGAAAGTCAAAGGAAAAAGATCATCAATATCAAAACAAGATCTACTTCTTGTAAATGCTCATGTACGTACAGGACTGTAATAACAGCCACCTGTGGTAACTATCCGACAGATAGAGCATCATACACATTCCTCGATGTGGGAGGCTGTCGAAGTAAGCATCTCCGATGTGATGATGACTATCTAGTGAAATATAATTGTACTATTTCATATAGAGAAATCGTAGTCGAAGGTAACTGCTTTGGGGCAGCCATTGTAATGAGATGCACGGCAATAGTAGGGTCCATCCGGGCCACCTGCGCCGACCGAGGCATGATCCTCAAAGCTGGCGTTAAATAACTGAGCCTCGAGCCAATCTGCCTGGTCTCCACAAGTATCCTGAATGACGCCGACTGAGCGAGAATGAAGCGTTGCAATACCCAAAGCTGGCTGTTGAAGCATCGAAGTTTGTTGGTGTCGTGGCCTTGACGTGCGTGTCCTTGACGTGCGTGTGGCTGGTGCGGTGACAGTAGAATGTAAATTGTGATGTGAGACTACGAGATCAGCTCGATGAGCCCCCGAGCTGCTGATTGATCCTATACCGCGCGCCGAACCATAGAATAAGACCTTATGCCGTCCCAGCATCATCTGCGTTTGTCGTCTCTACTAAATTCAAGGCTGTCCGTCATGTGGGCCGATTCTGTTGGCATTGAGCTTCTCTAAGTTAACATACGCGCTCCGATAAGATGGCCACTTGTTGTAACTGCTATTAGCTTCAATACAAGTGTACTCTCAAAACCTATCACTGTCAAAACTAATTCGTTTTAAACTTTCGAGTCATTTTTCAGTCTGCCACCTGGTGCACAGGTGGCCAAATGGCGATTTGGACTCCACCTCCCCAGAAAACTGCCCTGGCGAGTAGAGTCCAAATCCGGTCTCCGTTTGGCTGTAGGGCCTCTAGGAGCTTCAGAAACGCAAAAAACACGAATTCGTGTAGCCATTTTGTAAATTGACTGAACACTTTTAGCAGGGTTTTCGTAGACCAATCAAAACACGTGTATTATATTATCCAATGACGTTCCCTGATGTCGATCCAGGGAGGCTGTTGAGGTTAGGGCCCGTCACAGGGACCGCCTCTCCATCGTGCTCTCTATAAACTAATAATGAAGAGACACGGTATTTTTGACTCTAATAAATAATGTACTAAAATGTCTGGAACATTTTAGTACGATGAATGGTAGCGGCAATTCTAGACTATGTTTCTGAATGCCGCATACTAATTTCTTGTTAGTAGCCCGCTACTTTCTTAAACATTAATCTTACTTCTTCATTTACCGAGTCCACCACAAGCTCTTCTTCTTTTACCAAGTCCAACACAAGTGTCTTCTCCTTTTACCAAGTCCAGCACAAGTGTCTTCTCCTTTTACCAAGTCCGACACAAGCGTCTTCTCCTCCTACACTCAAGACTTCCTCTCCACTATGGCCGCCTAGACCACTCTACTTTTGTCCTCACTCCATTCTGTGCTGCCCTAACAACTCTGCGTAAATCATCCCTCCAACATTTTCGACTGCTTTGCCAACCCACCGCTAATAGCGGCGCTACCGGTAGAACTACTGGTACTCCCCAACCCAGGGTTTAAAGATACTGCATCACTTGCTGGTGTGTCGTTACTGGTAGGCCTCCTCGGTCTATTTATCTTACTCAGTAGTTCCGTTTTCGACAGGTTTTCAGATAAGATACTGTCAGTACCGGTAGCACCTTTCAGAATATCGTCGATGACGTCCATGACATAAGTCAGACGAGTGCACACACCCGCTCTCGCCCCGCACTTGCCACCCCAGCTCACAACACCAACAAGTACGTCATTAGCGAGAAGTGGGCCTCCAGAGTCTCCGCTGCACGAGTCCTTGCCGTTTCCGTTCCCAGCACAGATCATTCCTTCCGTTATGCGATTCCTGTATCCCTTGTTGCATTCCGCGTTTGAAATAATCCTTACGTCGACTTCTTTGAGCGTTAAGCTGCTCTTGCGATCTTCGGTCAATCCCCAACCAAGAGCCGTTGCCATCGTTCCAACGCGATTGTCTGACCCATCGGTAGCACACAGAGAAACTGTCTTCTGAGTGGATGTGGTCTTTAGTTTCAACAAACCAATATCGTAAAGGTGATTGTCGTTATTGTACAAGGGGTGACGGTATCCTTCGACCACCTTAATCTGCTCGGCTGACTTGGATCCTGAGCCTGAGCTGAACTCGGATCCGAGGGATGCAAACATTTGTCCCTCACCCGTCTTGATGCAATGTCCGGCTGTAAGGATGTACTACGGCGCGACAAGTGTGCCGCCACAAAATGTTTTGCCGTCAGGATCAAAGTGCAAGCTTGCGATGAACGGGTACGGGTCCACATCAGCATCTAAACCTCCATAGATGCGGGTTTCCTGGCTTACAGACAAAGTTGTACTGGTGCTTGAGGCAACAATCGGTGGCACTGTCGTATGCATAGCAATGGAGACATATCTTGATAATATCGACGTTAGCGCGCCAAGTTGTACCAATTTCATCCTCATGAAACTGTGCGCCAAGAAAGCCAAAGTGAAACTGGCAAGGTCGTGGGAGAATCTCCTACGATCTCCCAGGGAGATTTTGCGCTATAATCGCTATAATTACGAGACCATGAGAAGCTCTCAAATACCATCTCAAAGATAATTTCGCTTACATGTACTGTAATGTAAGAGTAAGCTGAAAAAATGTTTGGATGCCAAGCTACTTGGCAAGCATACATTGACAGCAACTAACCGCTGTTTTTTCAGCGCATGTGGAAGTCTAGTTGTTGGATTCCATTAAATGAGCCAGCAACATGCAGATCTTATCTTGCTGCACTTTTGCCAGTTGAGATCAATCCAAAATTTGGATCTCGAGTTGGCGAAATTGCCTGGCTGATCAAGACAACGAAGTTACTTTAATTTTAAAAAGAGCCACTTAACCGCAAATATTTTTAAAATACAGTACCGAAATTTTCTGTAAAAAAGTGAGTACAAAATTAGTATAAGACAGTAACAAGTAAAAAAAAATTTGCTCGATTTTTTTCAATGAAATACTTGTATACGATTAAAAATAGGCTAGCTACTGGAAATAGTACAGCAGATAATATCTGCTGTCAAACAAAATGATACTTACGAGATATCAAGATAAAGTGGGCCAATTGATTTTCGCACTTAACTGAAGCTGTGACATTTGGTGTAAACTTCCATCGAAAAAACTGTAAAACCTATTCAATTGTTTTTAGCGAGGGCTTTTAAGAAGCACTTGGATCTCAAAAATTGAAAAAAAAATATGAGAGTGAGTGCTGCGCCCAACTTGGATAAGGTTACGTTGGACGAGATTTTCTTAGCTGACTCTCTCTCTATCCGTACGGAGGATAGCGTATACCCCGGGGTATACCCGCTCAAACACCACTCATCTGGAAAGACCGCCGAGGAAGAGGGAGGTGTGAAAATGCCCCACGATCTCCGCGTCAAGGCGCTAGTAAGGCTGCCACGCCAGCGTGAGAGCAGCAGCTGGGGCAGCGGTGCCTCGGAGTACAGTGCTTCAGCCGTCTCCAGCGACGAGGAATGGGTGGACTCTTCAAAAGAGGTGTCAAGCACCACAAACAGCGGGTCATTGATGTCAAAGCAAAGGAGGTCAGAGGGATTGGACCACCCTCGGAGTGTTCAGAGCGACGAACAGGACATCCAGCAGCTTGTCGTGCCTGCTCCAAGTCTAGAGCGCTACAAGTTCAGCTCCTGGGACGATTTGGATTCATACCTGGCCGAATATATGAAGGAAACATACCAGGTACGTCGACAATGCTGTCAAATTCGGAGGGTTTACACTTACTTCAGATGTGTTGCTGCTGATTGTACAGAGCTTTCGTGTCCGTACCAGCAACTCGGCTGTCTCAAGAAAAACAAAGATTCGCTCGTCGGGCTCCGAGCAACCTTTGTTGTCGGACGCCGGGAAGAACTACGGCAAAACGTACATCTGCATGCATTCGGGAAAGTTCAAGCTGCGTGGAAAAGGGAAGAGGAAGCGACTGCAGGCGAGAGCTATGGAGTGTGGAGCACAGGTATGATACTTGATCGGGTTGAGTTGGGCGTTAATTGGCCACAGTTGGGCACACATCGTGTAAGTTGCGTACACGTCGCCTCAGCTGGGCAGCTGGGAGTCAGTATATTCTGTTTGGGCTGACTGGGCACGTGATTGTATTTGATACTATTATAGATCAACGCATGCGTACAAGTGAAGGATGGATCCGTTCCTACATTTGTTTTGAGGATTACAACAGCTCGATTGGTGCACAATCATCTCCTCAACAAGCACACGTTCAATCAGTACTCACAAAACAAAACTGCGCTTGAACTGGACGTGGTTCACACTGTGAATGAGCTTCGGAACGCAGGCGCCAAAAAGAAGTGCATACTCAAGTACATCCACGGCAACTATGCCTGTAACTCCGCCAATCAGGATGTGCACAGCCTAGTGCGAGCGCTAACCACCACGAGTGCAAAGCGATTGAAGAAGTAAATGATCGAATTCTCGGAGGAGCCTGGAAACGTTGGCCGCATCTCCGTCGATTCGGTGCATGATAATGTATATAAATTTCTCATTGTCTAAATATAATATCCTTCTAATATTTCTAACTTTGTCGTATATATTAGGCGATCGCCACTTGTATCACGTTGCAGACCAAAGATATGCGTGAGTTGATCGATAGGTTCCCTGAGGTATTAATGATCGACGCCACGCACGGGGCGAATGCATCGAAATACAAGGTGTTCTCGATAATGGTCCATGATGTATTTGGAAAGGCTCAATTTGTACAACATGTCCTTGTCCAAAATGAGCGTCGTCCTACCCTTTTGACATCTTTGGAGGAGTTCAAGAAGAATAACCTGGCCTGGACACGGATCAAGTGCATTCTGATTGACAAGGATTTCACGGAGATATCCGTGCTCAAGGTCGCGTTTCCGGATGCCTTGGTACTTCTGTGCCAGTTTCATGTCATCAAATATCTGTGGGGAGAGATATTAAGCATTGAATACGGTTTCACCTCATGGCAGAAACAACAGCTGCATGGAATCGTGAATTTATTGGTGTACGCGCGGACCGAGCACGAGTTTAAAAAGTATCGTAAGTTCATGCGATATATCATGGGACGAGGTGCTGTATCTCGTTTATCTGAATTCGACTCCAACATAAGCCAATTGGGGGCTGATAGTAACGAGTTGGACACAGATGAAAGTGAGCTGGGTGATCGTGCTGGGGTTGGTGCGGTTAGTGAGCGGGTGGAAGCACATTGCGATGACAGAGATGGCGACCGGCCGAAAAGCCTTTTAAGGCTTACTTACGCGGACTTTGACACGCAGTGGTGACCTCTTGTACACTCAACAGAGGCACATTCCCCGTCACGAGATCTCCAACAAAAGTGATCTTATGGATACATCTATTCGGCACCACCCTCACGTCTGTATCTCTGGATACCAGGACTCCTCCATCGATTGTTGTCAGTAAATTCAACGCATCTTTCAAGGCTGAAGCACTAGCACTGAAGGCGAGACAAGATGTTGTTTGTCCCGCGAATGTCAAGAGGAACGTACCCACAGCATTCCTTTTAGGGAATGTCAGCACTTGGATCTCGCTACTGCCACCAGAATACATCGTCTCTAAATACGCTCGATGAACGCTCCCCCGATTCTGGATCCAGCCAGTTTTACACGCATAGCCTTGAGCTTCGTGCTGTAACCAGATTGCTGCGCTCCGTCGGCACAGCATCCGGGTATACGTATAAGGGTATAATGTGCCCACACCGGCTTTATCGAGTTGGGCAGCGTTTGGAGGCTATATGAGCGTCCGATGGGTACGTTTAGGCGCCGAATGGGCATGGCTGGGCGCAGGAGGATCGTCTCAGGATTCTCAGTTGGGCGCAGCAGCACGTGCCAAAAATATTGAGCTCACAACTCCTACCATAAAAGTCGGTCCCAGTGCGATAAACGGGTCCAGTGCGACGTTCCCATTTTTATGGGTGGTACATCCTCCAGAGACAGATCTCTAAAGAGGACCTGCCGCCTGCTTAGGACGGATGTCATTGTAGGGTTCATTTTAAAAAAAACTTGACGAGGTTTTAAATTTGACTTGACTTTGACCAGCAAATGATATCGCACTGGGACCGATTTTTACGATTAATGTATCGTCATTTCGAGGCCCAATTATGGAAATAATATTTTTGTGCGACCACAACTTCTTCCGTTTTAAGCATTCCGTAGCTTATACATGTAGATGATGTAGTTGAGCACCTGTAAAGCGATATCGAAGGCGTGCTGTGGCATCGTCCATCATTTCATCAAAGCAACGAGACGAATCCACAGCAGCGGCGGCGTCACGCAGCCGAAAACAGTGTAATTTCTTCAGTGTCTTCATTATCCTTAAAAACCGCTTCGCGTTGGCGCGGGAAAGCCGCCACACATGCTCCAGCACCTCCATCGCTTGGTCCGCCGTTAGCTTTGGTCCAACAAACATCGTGAACGTCTTAGAATGCCGTCGGCGCCATCCATCCCAACTCAAATCAAGAGGGGGTAGGCTTGAGAACCAAGATTTCTAGCTCAAACCTACTCACGTTTGAGCTGACGTACAACCCCTAAACAACGTCTATCTCGAACTGAAGCTGAAACGTGCAAGAAAAACAGACTCCGAAAGTTCTCTAATTATTAAACTCAAGGATATTTGGACTAAATTAATTTTGTAAATTTCTCATACGGTATACCGCACGGAAAATATTTTTTCCGGAAATGTGCATTTTTTTGAAAGGAGATACCAGTTTTTAAAACTCCTCATACTACTATTTACTTATGTATTTAATTTTGAATCTATAACACTTCTACTTTAAAGTACTACTTCAAAGTTGAAGTACTACTAAAGCGTAGTACTACGTAGCATTCTACTACTAGTAGAAGGTACTGGTACTACTACTAGTACAAGATCATTCGTGCCATTATTAGCAAAAGAGCAATTCAAACATGTGTTTAAGCGGTTGTAGCGAAACTGTTGCCCGGCTTACTTAAACGACTGCTGAGTAGCCATGTCGCTCTGGTGCACTGAGTCACTTTGTAGGACCGAGTCCTCCGAAGTTGAAGCCGAGTCCTCCTCAATCAAAGTCTTCGAAATCTTTGAAGTCTTACCACCCTTGACCAGAACAGTGTCCTCACTGCCGCTATCCGATTCGCTGGCAAACAACCAGTCGAGATCGTGGCTGCCAGATGCTCCCTTGGTAACCTTGCCCTTGGTAGCACCCTTGACAAGAGAGGGGTCCTCGCTTCCGCTGTCAGAGTCGTTGTCAAGCAGCCATGACAGATCGTCACTACCAGAGTCCGATTCCTCCTCTGCACCGGTTGCCTTGGTTGCCTTACCCTTGGTGGCAGGGACGTCCGTCTCCTCCGACGCAGATTCGGTAGAATCCTCAACCGGAGTCTTGGTGGCCTTGCCTCCCTTGGTCTGCACAGTGTCCTCGCTACCGCTGGCAGAGTCACTGTCCGAGTCGCTGTCGAACAACCACGACAGGTCGTTACCACTACCTGAGCTGTTCTTGAGCAATTTGAGTAGCCATGAGAGGTCATTGCTTCCACTACCGTCGAGTAACGAGGCTACATCATCACTGCCCGACGTCGACTCCGACGAGTCCATCGACGACGGGAGCGAAATTTGCTCCATCGAAGAGGCGGAGGACGATGCCACGCCGAACTTGCTTCCATCGCCACCGGCCAAAATGTCCTCAATGTAGTCCATAACGTACGTAAGACGAGTGAAAATACCAGCCTGTTCACCGCACTTGCTTCCCCAGCTCACGCATCCAATGAGGATGTTGCCGTCCACGAGAAGCGGACCACCCGAGTCACCATTGCACGTGTCCCTGCCGTCACCGGTTCCGGCACACAGCATACCCTCCGTGATACGGCCAACGTACTTCTTAAATTTGCCACACTCCGCGTTCGAGATGACAGGAAGCGTGAGCTGCTGCAGGATAGGGCTGCCCAGCTCGCCGCTGGTCTCGGTCTTGCCCCATCCTAGAACAGTACCAAGGGTACCGACCTTGTTGCTGGATCCGTCTGCTGCGCACAGCTTTGCCGTTTTGCGCTTAATCGGCTTTTTGAGTTTAAGCAAACCCACATCGTACAAGTGCTCCTTCTTCTTGTACAACGGGTGGCGGAAACCTTTAATGACGGGTATCGAGGTGGCTTCACCGGAGCCAGAACCAGTGCTGTCGTTCGTACCAAAAGTGGCGACAATGTCCATCTCGCTAGTCCTAATGCAATGACCAGCCGTAAGAATGTACTGGGGGGCGATGAGCGTACCGGCACAGAAGGTCTCGTCAAAGAAAGAATCACGCAGACTAGCGAGGAACGGGAACTTGTCGATGTTTGCATCTGAACCCTCGTAAATGCGGTTCTCCTCATTGGCAGTCAAGCCAGTGCTCTCTTTCTCGGTATTGACCGTCGTGGAAACATCGGAAAACGAGTAGCCATACGTGAACGTCGCAAGGGATGCCACTGTCGCGGCGAAGGCGCCAATCTGTACAATCTTCATCGTTCGGACTGTTTGGAGGATTTAGCACCTATTAGGTCCTTCGAAGGTCCCGGAGTGGTGAAAACCAAAATGATCTGGTCGAGCAGATACCATACGGGCTATCCGTCAAGGCTTCCGGGTTGAGTCAAGCCGGAAGCTGTGGCGCTAGCAAAGTTTGCCAAAAACAGTTGTGGACAATGTCCACTGGACATTCTTGCGATAATTATGGATAGGGCAAAAAACGTAATTCAGAAGCTTCGGACATGCCTACAGTACGTGCACCAACTAGACAGTCAAAGCGCGTGCAGTGCCGGAAAACAGCAGGTTTGTAGTGTTTCATAATGAAACTTTCATTGCATCGCAAGAGAAAGAAAAAGATGGGGAATGCTGGGCAACGAACGGATGCAGTGACTGTAATACTGTACATGTTCTGTTCACTGAACAGTGTTCAGTATTATTATTTACTGTATACAATACCGTAAGTACTTCTGAAGCCGTTCACGATTACGATTATGTAATACATGGATACTACCTCGAACTTCGAGGTCTCTACCTAGTACTTCGAGTCGAAGTACTACGTAGGTAGAGAGTTAAGTGGACAGGCAGAACAGGCTGTTGAAGTGACCCATGCAAACACGGTGCTGTACAGTAAGCACTGGGAGTGTCGAATGGCGTTACCGCAACCATAAATACAACACCACGACACGAATTTTGGTAACTTTAGAGCGAAACGCAACCACAACGGGGCATGCACTCGGTATTATATTTTAATTTACCCAAGACCACGTGGCCTTCGTCGATAGGTTTGTCTAAATTTAGAGGTTCTAGACTGATGTGAGCCACATGTACATTATGTGGGACACAAGTATTCGCACACTTTGGGACTTCTCGATTTGCTGGAAGATCTCGATCATCGCTATGGATCAGAAGGCTTTACCACTTGAGTTGGTTCGTGCAAGGCTTAGTGAGCTGGAGAAGGTGAGGACGGTGCTCGTTAACATACAATGCAGTATGGAGGAATTCATGGCAGCTCAGATGGAGTTTCAGGGTCGTATTGATGAGGAGGAAGCTTGCCTTTACCAGCTGAAGGCGGATTTCTTCGAGGAGGGGGCAGCTCAAGATGACGATCTTTCGTTTGGAGCTTTATTGGAGATGGCTATTCACAAGCTGAATGCATAATGCAGTGAACACGGTCTGTATTAAAGACTTAATTGAGGCTAAAACACTTACTCGAGTTCTTTTTGTAGCTTCTGTAGAGTCTTGCTTGTTGTGGCAGCGTCGGATTCGGAGAAAGGTTGTTCCTTGAACAGATGCATAATGGCCCAAAGAATTAGTAGGCGCATCACTTTGATGTCGTGCTTGGTGACGTCGTAGCTTTGCTGTGTGGTGTTTCCAGTAAGGTAACTGCAGCATTGTGCTATAACTAATACGCCGCAGCTAGATCCATCTGGTTGTTGCGGTGAAAACACCCACTCAACTTCCTGGATCTCCAATTCCACATCCGGCATCGAGGACGCGTGCCACCGCTCGAGGAACCCGCGTAGGCCCTCTTTTGCTTTGCTTTTTGGGTATTTCACTTGTTCAGTAACACCCTCCCAGATCTTCATCATGTCCTTGTGATAAGAAGCATCAATCAAAGGCTCGTACATGTGCACAAATAGTCGTACACTAGTTGCCGTCGTGTGAAAACGCGTGATAATGACTCCCCAATGATTGCCGTCCAGGTGTACTGCGTGGAGGACAAAGTTAAGTTCTCCGATAGATACTTTTGGTGTAGAAGGCCACCCGATATCCCACATCAGTGACGAGATCACGTAGCAGCCACCAACAACCCCTCCAATTGTTCGTAAACAGAAGTCTATGTGACTGTCATTAAGCCATCCCCGACATAGACCACCGAGAATGTTTTCGAAAGTGATCGATCCATTTCCGTGCAGCGTTCGAAATTCCGTTAGTAAGCGACTTGATGCAAACTTTCCAATCACTTCGTTGGCCAAGTCTTGATGGCGATTGCAGATAAAAAGTTCTTGTAAGCCTTGAATCTTTGTCTCTTCTGCTAAGAGGCTCACATTTGATGGGATGATTCGCAAGTTTTGCTCTAGCCATTTCCGGTCTTCAATCCACGTTCGTCCCTTTAATTTGACATCGTGGAATCCAGTCAAAGCTCCTACAAACTTGCTGCGAGATGTTGTAGATGTAGAGCAACCATTCCGTTAGTGCAACCCGGTTGTAGCAACCATAATATGGCTACCTAATTGATAAAACAACCTTACCTGCTAAACTTCCAGAGTTTCGGATCAATAGTGGCGACAATATCAAGGACGATCCCTTGATTCTTCGCGCTATCTTCGAGTGGACCCGGCGAGTCCTGTTCTTTCCATGCTGTCGTGACGGCGGCTTGGAGTGATCGACTGATATCAATTGGAACTGCAAATGCGTGCATGTAGTCCGTGTGCCGCATTGCTTCCCACCGACACTCGATGCTACGGGCTCTCAAATAGGGATCTTCAAGCTGAACTGGATACTTGGCAAGTGTATCCATGACGAATTTCAAGTTTTCCGTGTTCCTTGCCCAACGTACAAAGCGATCAAGAGTCACAGTAAGCCCAGCTGGGTATTTGTGAATAGCTAGACGGGGTTGACCGGATGTCAACGTAGTTTGGCGGAGCTGCTTCGTCGTCACCCTGGAATTACCGCGACGTTTTGGCCGAGGAAGGCTTATGATATCAACAGCACGGCTTGCAATTGTTGGTACTTCCGGATCTGGCGGCGACATATTAGAAGTATCATTGACGCGTTCTGGGTTTGCACTGTCCCCTTCAGACTCAGATGCTTCAGACTCAGATGCTTCAGACTCAGATGCACCTCCACTATCCGTGCAGGCTTCTGTAGAGGGCGAAGCGGATTCTAGCTCGTCCATAAGTTTCGCTGTTTCCATTGCCTCAAGTGGGTCAAGCGAGGAGAAATCGTCTTGATCGTCATCGTCTTCGTTACTACTACCGTCATCGCGATTACCATTGACTTCGCGGTTGAGACCAATCTCCACCGTGTCCTTCCAGGCAGAGAGTTCTTGATAGAAATCAGCGCTTGATAGACACGATAAATGTTCCAGCAGAGGCTCTAACACTGCTTTTGCGTATGAATACTTTTCTGATGACGACAAAACCACCTGGTTGGCACGCTCCTTCCTGTGAAGGCGAACGTAGGCAATCTCTTTGGGTATCTTAGAAGCTGTCATACAGGATCCGTGATCATCACTTTGTTCCGCAATCTTGTCATTCTCCGGCAACTTTACTTTCGGCGACCTTAACTTGGACATTTGCACAATAGGTTTCAGTAAGTCGGCCGCCGCAGCAAGGTCTTCTTTTGCTTCTAAGGCCACCGACAAACTCCATCGTTTGTCAATCGAAGTAACAGGTAACATATTGAGCCGAAGTCCAGATTCTGCCAAATGCATCAGGTGTCGGCAAGGTAGATGATGACTCTTGAAGAATAAGCAGGTACATGTCCATTCTCCATCGTTGCACACAAATGTTTCATTCCCACAGTTGACCTTCCAAAACGAAACACTTCCAGCAACTCGTTTGCACGAAGCGCCTGCCATAAGGTTGACGAAGCGCTCCCACTCCTTCTTGACCGTCGAAAATATATCCGCAGACAGTCGATTAGCCACAGCTCGCAAAAACTTTGGCACCGTCTTGGGAGCACGTGAAGTTGAGTGCTGATGTCCAATAGTGAAAATAATTTTCTGCGTAATTGTCATTTGATGCTGAAGCAACCCAGCAATAGTCTTGTTAATTCTCGTTTTGTGACCAAGCAGCATCTTGACTTGATTCCAGTTTGACTCGATCCTATTCGTTGAGCAGTAAAAGCCTTCCCGCTAGTAAAATTGGCCCACATGTCACGGCACGAGCTCCAGTTTTTATCGAAGTACGCAGAAAAGGCTTCGCGCTTCTGGTCCTTACAATACTGCCGCATTGCATCGTAGTAGAAGTTGTATCTGGTACTAGAGGTACTAACATAAATCAAAGGCAATCACAAATTAGCCTCCACATACACGGTGAAAAGCAACCTTACTCACCTGTAAAGTAGTTTCATCCTTTGGACCAGCAGTTCCTCACATTGCGAAACTCTTAGGCGATACAACGGACGCTTCATTACCTTCTTCCAGTAACTAATCGCATGGAACTGACATAATAGAACCTTGGCTCTCGGAAAGGCATCTTTTAATACGCCCCACTCATCAAAATCTTTGTCAATCACCACCGATTGAATGTGCTTCCAGCCCGAGTTCTTCTCCTTGAAGTAGTCCAAAATTCTGGACATTGTCAGTGCTTGCTCGTTGAGACAAATAAAATCAAAAACCGGAAACCCTCGACCCGTAGCTGTGGTGACAACCAAACTTCCTAAAGGTCAAAACCAAAACAAAGTTGAGTTAATCATACAGCAACTTTAAGTAGATAAGGTTGTTATACATCAAAATAAAGTTACAGCAACCATAGCTGTACGCACCCAGATGATAGCCCAGATTATTCGTTCCGTGGGTAAAATCCATCGCTAACGTCTCACCCCATCGCTCGAACATTAGCTTCTGCACTTTTGTCTGCAAAACGATCCCGGTTGTAATGCCAATTTGGTCTTGCATCACGAGAACATCACTGCCATCCAATTGGCGCAGCGCGTGCAGCATGTCCTTCAATCGGATTTCAGCAGAATCCCTCCCCATGATATTGCGAATGAGGTTGCGGGTCTGCTGTGGAGTAATCTGGCAGCCTATTATTTACATATACAGTCATACGAAGAACATAGTAGCAGACGTGTTAATTAAAATAAAAAATAAGATCTGGCTTACATACCAATCCGCTCATTCAAAAAGCTGGAGATGTGCTTCGAAGAAACACGTGCATCCGCCAAGGTTTTCACGTCCTCACGATCCTGCTCGTTCAATGGTAAGGTCTTAGTCGTCAGATATGACGAAGCTTCAGACGCAGTGGTAGGGTGGGAATGGGTGTGATTCTGGA